AAACTTAAATTTCTTCTACAGAAAAATAAAAGTTAATAAAAATTATAATAATTTTGTTTAAAAAATTATATTTTCTGCAACTTTAAAACATTTTAAGCAAGTAAGATCTAGTCCAAATTTTTCTCGCTTTTTTTTCTTTCAGTCCACTTGTCAATAATAATGTTTTGGTCAGTTATTAAAGCTATTTCTCATCTGTTTATTGTTGTTTGGTGAACAAATTGAATTTGTTGGTTTACCTTGCGAAAGCCTAAAGCCGTTTCGTCAAAATTGTAAGAAATTGAAAACCGTGACATCACCATTTAGCTAAATGCCATCCATTTCGCTTTTATTTCGAAAATAAATAGGAAAGAAATCGCAACAAATCGCATAACAATGCATTCATAGCATACGCCGTCCGCAAAACCGGGCTGACATATGCACACATAGACTCAATAGCAGGCTTAGGACACACAGCTGTGCTATCTCACCCCCTTACCACCTAAAAATCTCTTTAGAATCAGAACGAATCTCTACCTAACAAGATTCGAGTCCTATTGAAATCTCTTGGTGAGAGAACCGCCAATGACAGGATCAAATAATGAAGTTTGGTACAAAGTGACCTGCCTTTTCAACACTGCATTATTAAGCCATACATTATCCAGGATGTCACTAAACCGTTCATTAGACTGTTCGTTTGTGAGTAACAATCGAGGATAAACGGTCATGGTCTAACTCACCCACGAAATTAAGTGGATGGCGAATTTTTTTGATCAGAATTCGGGCCCCGAAGGTGTTGACATAAAAATCAGTGCACTCTTTTAATTTTCCCCGTGTAATAATTTCGAGACCCTCGTAAATCTGGCCAAGGGCCAAATAGGGAGTATGAGTAGCGATCTGGTCGGGATTATCTATTGAATAACTGACTGTTGAATGGCTTGTGAATTTATCCAGCTTTCGGTCCCCAACTTTAGACTTCGCGCCTTGGGCAAAGCAACTTTTTAACAGTGCTGTAGTTGAAGCTGCGGTTTGGTTTTTGCCATGTCAAACCGACCCCTGCTTCAAATTTTTCTATCTTGTTAAACAGAAAATTATGACTTGGCCTTGTTGTCGGAACTGTTTGATGTGTATTTAGTTTCAGTTAGAACCTATTTTGTTGTTGCCGCTACCTGTATTAGAGTGTGTAACCAACCACGCAAAAATTACTTCCTTCTTATGTATTATTGTCAGTTGGTCACTATTAAAACTAGCAATTTTCCCACTCACTTGTGTGAATATTTAATATTTTGCGACTACTTTGTGTATCAGCTGTCCCACAAGGGGGTAACACAAGTGTCCTCTCACCAGACAATTGACTATAGAGACTTCGATTACTCAATCTATACCGCATAAATTTGCTGCTTTGTTGCCTTCAAACAATCAAAGACTTTCAGCTCGCCACAATACGCGACAACCCCCTTTGAAATAATACGGCCGAGACTCTTAAATGTTTCAATATTTCAAGCACTTTCAACCACTTTTGTCCTAATTTGCTGCGATTTGTTTAATTACTCTAAATCTAAGCATTTTGTTTGTTATTATTACATTTATATGTGTGAAAAACCAATGTCGTTGGGCATCACATAATTAATTAATAGTATATTATGTTATTAGCAGTAAAAGTGATAGATGATAAACTGACTTTTCCTCTAAATAACATATACTATTTTATCCGCACACGTATTCGAATCAAGAGTAAAGAGCAAGTAAATCAACAAAATAATCAGGATGCTTTACAAGTAATGAAATCATAACAAACGTCACAAGTCAGTATCAAAATTGTTGCTTAAACTAGTGCAGTTAGTAGTGCAAAATATCGAATACTGATCTACAGTGTACCTCTCCAACGCTAAAGCAGTGAAAAAGACAAGAAAGAAACAACATTGGTAAATGTCATGGTGAAAGTAAAAACGCTTAAGCGAAAAAACAGATTTGAAAAGAAAACTTTTTATTTGTGTCATTTTGTCATAAAAGGGTCACTTTTGTGACGTTTACAAATAAACTATATTGAAAATTATTCAAGGTGCCTCAAATTTAAGAAACGTATTTAGATCAAGAGCAAAGTGCAAGTAAATGAACAAAATAATTTACAAGTAATAAAATCATAACAAACGTCATAAGTCAGTATCAAAATTTGTGTTAAAATTTTTAAAAGTGTTTCTTAAACTAGTGCAGTTAGTAGTGCAAAATATCGAATACTGATCTGTACCTCCCCATCGCTGAAGCAGCGAAAAAGACAAGAAAGAAACAGCATTAGCAAATATCATGGTAAAAGTAAAAACGCTAAAGCGAAAAAACAGTTGTTACTCTATCTCTAAAAAATAAAAGTTTTACTTGTGTTATTTAGTCATAAAAAGATCACTTTTGTAACGTTTGCGGATAAACTATATTCAAAATTATTTACAAGGTGTCTCAAATATATGAAAAAAATCAATCTTAACTGAGTTAGGATGAAATAACTGTGATTCATGAAGTCTTATAAAAAAGTTATCTTTATTTAAATAAAGATTTGAATAATGTAAAATTTTATCAAAAAATGATTACCTACACGCCACATTTTTATTTAAATTTTGTTCTAAGTTACATACATTTTTATACTAACCCAGTCGCACATGCATTTCAGCCACTTTTCAGCAGATTAAAGACTCTAAAGTGTCAATATAAGAGAATAGTTTTCAAATAAAATCTAATTTTTTCTAATGTTTTAAGTTTTTATGTAAATCTCTGTCAAGTTTAAAGTTAATTATTTAATTAGTTAATTTTTGTTATTAGACAACTATCTATTAGACTAATAATTTAGCCATTAAGTAATTTTTTATAACCACATACATACATCTCGTTAGAATAAAATAATTTAGAAAATTTTCTGACAAAATTAATATAAATAAAAAATAATATACAGACTGAATTATAAAAAACGCCTTAAGGCATAATTTCATTACTTTTAAAGGCGTCTATCCCAAACAATAAATAACAATAAACTGTACAACTTTGTTCTAAAAAGTATTGTCATATCTTTAAAAATAATGGAGTTATAGCTTGGATCGTTTTTCATAATCCACCCTGTATCTACAGAAAGTCAAGCAAAAATCTTAAACAACAGCATCTATTTGTTTAAACTTTTAACTTAACTAAAACATTATTTTACTAAAGTGTCCAAAACCCAAAAAATAATCAATTTGTTTTTGATTTGAAAACAATTACTGAAATTAAATATAATGGTACATGTTTTATGAAATTGCTTCACAGACGTGTTTCTTTTAAATTGTCTAATAATTTCAATGTAGAATAAAATCTATACTGTTCCCTAATAATTACGAATTTTTTTTAAAGAATTTCTATACCGACTGATGAGAGCAAAAGTTTTGCCATAATACTCGTATACCGTTGGTTTTAATTTTTTTTATTTTTGTTGATAAAATGATAAGCTATCATATCAGTATAGATATCAAACCTGTAAGAATAACACTTGTCTATCACTAAATCGCGATGCGATCAAAAAAAACTTCGTCAACAATAATGTTGACAGTGTTTGTAATGTGTTGTTTTCTGCTAATGTTCAGCTACATAGATCCGGTCCCAAATATTAAAAACACACAGATTGACTTACCAAACTTTTATAACACTGATGAGTAAGCTAAATTTTTGCTTAATCCACCAACTGGTGACGTGTTTTCCAGCTTTGAAGTGCAAAAATACACGTGGAAGTGCGAAAATGAAAAATGTGTTAAATACCCTGTCGAAAATGAGGAAACGTCTCTAATGACCTGTAACATGTTGTGCTCACAACCTCCAATTTGGCCTAAACCGGCAGAGATAAAATCAACAAATCGCAAATCCTCGATTATTGATAAAACAAAAATTCGTTTTAACTTATTTTGTCAAGGTCTCGTGAAGATTATGTTGCAAAATGCTACCGATTTATTCATAAAAAGCCTTGAATTTCTAAAACCAGGAAACCAGTCCAGTGGAATTGAATTAAACATAAATATAATCCTGTCTGATAACACCGACAAGCTAAAATTGAATACCAATGAGAGTTATGAGTTGACAGTCCAAGAAAAGAGTGCAAATATCACAGCTTTGAATTTTTTCGGTGCTAGACATGGACTAGAAACGCTAAATCAACTCATTTGGTACGATGAAGTGATTAATGAGTTGAGGATATTGCACGATGTTGTGATAAGAGATTACCCGAAATTTCCCTATCGAGGTGTGATGATTGACACCGCCCGAAATTTTTTCCCAATTAATTTAATCAAAAAAATAGTCGATGGTATGGCAATGACTAAATTAAATGTCCTCCATTTGCACTTAACTGACGCTGTGAGCTTCCCAATAGTGTTACCACGGGCCCCCCAATTGGCCTATTTCGGCGCGTACGGCCCTGATATGGTCTACACACCTGAGGATATCACAGATTTGAGACAATATTCACAAATTCGGGGAGTGAGACTCGTGCTTGAAATAGATGCCCCAAGTCATGTCAACGCTGGATGGAATTTCAACCAAAAATTTGTGATTTGTGGCGACGACATTTTAAACGGTCATTTGAACCCAGATAATGAGGAAGTCTTGCAAGTTTTGGAGAATATTTACACAGATTTGTTGGATTTAAGTGAGGATAATGAATTATTTCATCTTGGGTCCGATGAAGTTAATTTAACGTGTTGGGGACACACGAAAAAATTTTGGGCCCAATTCACGAATAAAATGATTCAAAGACTCAAAAACGCCAATAATGGTCAATTACCTGAACATGTAATCATGTGGTCAAGTCCTTTGACTGAATCTTTGCATTTCGAAAAATTAGAAGTCAAAGTCACTGTGCAATTTTGGCTCGGTGACCCTCGTAGTATCCTCACCCATGGGCATCGCATCATCTACTCAACTGTGGGTCATTGGTACTTGGATTGCGGTTTTGGCCCATGGAAGCCCAGTATGGGTGGTGGCGTCTGCGACCCGTACACCCCATGGCAGAAATTTTACCATTACCGCCCATGGGGGGACCACAACCACCAGGAGTTGGTGCTAGGAGGTGAGGTGTGTCTCTGGTCGGAGCAAGTCGGAGTCGATGATTTGGAGACTCGAGTTTGGCCCCGAAGTGCAGCTTTTGGGGAACGCATCTGGAGTGACCCTTCCACTAGTGACAATTACGATATTTACACAAGATTTGTGACGTTTAGTGAGAGACTCAAGAGTCGGGGAATTAAAACGGCGGCGATTTGGCCATATTGGTGCTCCCAGAATCCAGGCAAGTGTTGATTTGGTCCAGGGGCGGATCCAGGAATTAATTTTGGAAGAAGGCTATCTAAAAATTTTTAAAATGATGAGGGTATACAGTGAGCGGCAAATTATAGAATAATTTTATTTATTAAAACTGAAAATAGTTTGTTTTAGAAAAATGCTCGAACAGGTCATTTTTCTTTTTAAAAAATACAAAATTTTTAACATGATTTAAAATTCTATCTTTGTTTTTAATTGATATTTTTTTACTTTTTGCATATTTTTTTTTTAAACTTTATGTAATACATAATATTTTGGTGTTGCCATTTCGACAATTAAAAAATCTATCGAATTTGCTAAAAAATTAGGGGTTTCCATTAAAAAAAATGTCGCTGGCGTCAAAATTATTTACAAGGCATCTCAAATATAAGAAAAAAATCAATCTTAACTAAGTTAGGATGAAGTGACTGTGATTCATAAAGTCTTATAAAAAAGTTATCTTTATTTAAATAAAGATTTGAAAAATGTAATATTTTATCAAAAAATGATTACCTACACGCCACATTTTTATTTAAATTTTGTTCTAAGTTACATACATTTTTTACTAACCCAGTCGCAAATGCATTTCAGCCACTTTTCACCAGATTAAAGACTCTAAAGTGTTAATATGAGGGAAAAGTATTCAAATGAAATTTTGAGTTTTTTTAATGTTCTGAGTTTTTATCTAAATCTCTGTCAAGTTTAATGTTGATTAATTATTTAATTAATTCTTGTTATTAGACAACTATAAAAAATGTTTCAAAAGACTCAAAAGATTATAGCCAGTAATTGATTTATTTTTTTCATAACTACATAATCTCGTTAGATAGAAAATTTTCTGCAAAAATTAATATGAATAAAAAAATAATATACATGCTGAATTATAAAAAACGCTTTTAGACATAATTTGATTACTTTAAAAAGCGTCTATCCCAAACATTAGATAATAATAAACTGTGCAACTTTGTTCTAAAATGTATTGTCTTATCTTTAAAAATAATAGAGTTATAGCTTGGATCGCTTTTGTGACGTTTAGTGAGAGACTCAAGAGTCCGGGGAATTAAAACAGCGGCGATTTGACCATATTGGTGCTCCCAGAATCCAGGCAAGTGTTGATTTGGTCCAGGAGCGGATCCAGGAATTAATTTTGTGGGGGGGCTATCTAAAAATTTTTAAAATGATGAGGGTATACAGTGAGCGGCAAATTATAGAATAATATTATTTATTAAAACTGAAAATATTTTGTTTTGGAAATATGCTCGAACAGGTCAATTTTCTTTTTAAAAAATACAAAATTTTTAACATGATTTAAAATTCTATCTTTGTTTTTTATTGATATTTTTTCGCTTTTTGGATATTTTTTTTTTAACTTTATGTAATACATAATATTTTGGTGTTGCCATTTCGACAATTAAAAAATCTATTGAATTTGCTAAAAAAATTAGGGGTTTCCATTAAACAAAAAAAATGTCGCTGCCGTCATACCCAAAAAGTGTGGAATTTTAAAACAAGTTGAAAATTGTGTATAAGGTCTTCTAGCGAGTTGGTAAAGTTCATTATTCAGACAGATATAAATTTAATTTAATTAGACACCTAATATGTGGCCCAAAGAAAATTACAATTGATGATTTCTTTTTAAATTAGTAAAAAAAAGTAGTAAGTAAGTATCAAGAGATCAAGATAATTTGTCCTTAAATCCGAAAACGTATGTCCTGTGCGTATGTCTGTGAAACGTCAAATAAAATGACAAGTGAAAAGGTAAAATCCCATGATCAAAAAGATAACTAAATTTATGATTTACCTTAAAAAAAGAACGGTCTTATTATTATACGTCGGCGACTAATTCCAGCCCATTTTGCCCTTTTCGACTTGTCATTTTATTTGACGTTTCTCGTGCAGTTAGTTCAATAACAGACATACGTACAGTTGCGGAATTAAAAATTCGGGCAGTACCTATTAAAAAGTTCACTGTAAATTACCTTTTACTGTCATCATGACTGACATTTGACAATTAAACTTATTTTTATTTGTTGTTAAATTTGTTAATTAAACAATTTGTCTGTCTTAGGAAATTTATTAATTGAACTAAGTGTAATAAATCATCGCTGTGATCTGTTGACTACCCGTTATTATGCCACAAATCACTATTTTTGAATATAAATAAGTCAAAATGACATAAATATGACAAGAGTAAAAAATGAGGTTATTAATATAAAGGTTCTTTTAGAGTTTACATTATAAAAATAACAGTACTGCCCGAAATTTTAATTCCGCAACTGTATTTTTTCGAATCCAAAAATGACTCGATTACAAATTATTTTGATCTCTCGGTATACAGGGTGCGCCAGAACTCGCGCCCCAGAGAAAATTTTCAAGTAAGGTAAGATACTAGGAACACGGAAAAAATGTTTAAAAAATTCTATCAGTCAAAAAATATTGACATTTATTTTTTGACATTTGACATTTTTTATGTCTATTTAATGATAATGATGATCTTGTATATGTTTTATTTTCACAATTATTTAGTAAAAGTGTAAACAATTTTCTAATAAAAGCCACAAATAACAGTGAACAGAGTTACAATTTAGAATGCAGCTTCCTTGTTTTCTCTTCTAATAACCTGTAGCAAAAAACTTGAGAAATTATTTTTCCAACAGAAATAAATAGAGTCAAAGTGCAAATTTTAAACTCTCATAACTTCGAAATTTTTATAGATAAAATTTTTTTAACATTTTTTTTATGTTCCTGATATCTTACCTTATATGGCATTTTTCTCTGGGGCGCGTGTTCTGGCGCACCATGTATGTATTATTTGTATTAATAAGTGTGATTTAAAAAGAATTCTAATGTTTTTATTTAAAAAAACTTTAGGTCATAAGGTTTTTATATCAAAATTTAAATATAAAAAAATGAAGCTTTTGGTGGAAAGTTTGGTCCGCCCTTGATTTGGTCCCACGGGAACTCATCTTTGGCCCAGATAAACATGCGGGCCCTTCCGTTTCAGCCAAAGTTGGAGTGGTGGCAACACTTATCGCCCTGTGTGGTGTGCGCTCATCATAAACAAGTCTGGAGTGGCTATTATGTGGTGGTTTTTTATTTTCGCGAAATATATTTATTGAAAAAAACATTTTATTATTTGGAAGTGGATAACAGGCGTGTCGGGGGTGCTTTTGAGCTTGTCAGAAATACTAACCATGATTTAAGCCGGCTACTGTAAAAGAATTCGTCCAGTAAAAGATTTTGTAAAGGCTATTGTGTGTCTAATGTCAGGTAAGTAAAGCTAGAAAAGCCATCACTAATGAGCATTGTCCTGCTACCAAACAAATGGCGGGTTCTGTGATCTCCTCCGACAAAACCGAAGAACTTGTGTTAACTTCCACTAATAAGAACATGTTGACAAATTGCTTTAAAAGTGTGGGTTGGTCAAAAATCGGAAACCCAAGAAAAATAAACAAAAATTTTGAGTTAACTTAAACGAATCAATTAAAATATAAAGAGATATTTAAGCTATTGTCATTGAATATATCTCGCACGCTCTTCCACTACATATTGTGGTTTCGCCCCTACGTTTAAAAAATAGATGTCATAATCATGTGACAGGCGAAGGGCAGGAAGACCAACAATAATTTGAATAATTATTGAATGTCAACCACCGCTTAGTTGCTACATAATCCCTTTCAGGGGATAATATTTAAGAGAGGGCATGTGATGGACAGCGACATTGGTCTTTCACACATCTGTCAAATAAAAAATTACCCTGTTTTATAAATGGGGCGTTTTCGATAAATTTTTATTAATAAAATAATAAATAAAAACGAAAAAAAGGGCAAATTTTAATAATTTTTTTATATTTACATTAATAACAAATTGT